GGTTAGATTATTTTTATGAAGTCTATGGTCTTTCTCGACGACCACAATCCGATGGCACAAGACAAATGCGAAAGCTCCCAGGCCGCTCTGTCTCTTCCAAGCAGCACAATTACTTTCCTCCCCGAACTTAGCTGGAATATTCATTACGGAGTTTAGATTTGCTTGCTTTCTTACAGCCTACGATGTGAGTTATAATATTCTGCTCTCTCGTAAGGTTGTTTCTACGTATTTAATTTATTTTCTGTCCTTCCCCGCTTACTGGCTGACAGTATCCCATTATTTATAAACTGTGTCATTTGTTGTGTGCTATTTCTTCGTTCTGCTTGAACAGCATCACGTAAACACTAAATACAAACATTTTCAGCTTCCACATATACTCCAGGGTTGATGTGTTTTTATATGTTTTATTAACTTTTATTAAGCCACGTTACATTTCAGTTTATATCGTTTATTCACTACCAGTTGTTTAATATTGTAATTCAATTCTTCAAAATAATAATAGTTTGTTTTCTGTATCACATATTCTGTATCATCTTAGCGAGTAACTCCAATCCATAACCCGGTCAAAATTCTAAAGAACCTGTAAGAAAACCCAGAATTTACTACACTGGGTGAGGTTTTTCGATCATTTACTTACTTCTTTCAGATTATTAGCACTTATTTCATGTAGTGACTACCAAGTCACTAATAAATCCATAATTTTAAGCTGTGTAACCCTATTGTTTATGGAGTTTATTAAATATATATAAAAAAATCGCTCATCAGCAATCGAAAGCTAGATTAGACGAAATTCGCTTTTGTCTTGAAATATTTGGAATGTAAAAGTTGTGTATCCACATACTCTTACTCACTCCATGGAACACAGTCCTGCCTTCTTCAGAAATTAACAGTCACTCATCACGTCAAGAAATTGCACTCCTTTTATAGAACACTAAAATTCATTACCGTTTCACTAGATTTCAAAACTGATCCCATTTTACTTCAGATGAATCCAGTCTACACCTCCATGACCTACTTCATTGCCATCCATTTTATAATTATTATCCCATTTATCTAACGGTCTCCCTAAAGATTTCGTCGCTTTAGGTTCTGCGACTTAAATGTTGTATATTAACATGCTGAAAGGAACTTAACGCTGTACCGCTTCCAGTTTCCAGTGAATGATTGCATTACAGACGTTAAAACGTTACACAATGAACATCAAACTTGGAATTGCTTTACGTGTTTTCGTCACGTGAGCTTAACTTCTTAATTCCCAATTCTACACAGTTTACATATCTCTATAGCAAACAAAAATATATTTATTTTATTTTAGGTCCTCTTAGGTCATTACATTTCTATCAGTATCAATAATATATACAAATTTCCATATCGTCATATACAACCTATTAAATTAATTCTTCATAATTTTGCATGATAGTGTATTGAATAGACATCAATTGATAGTGTGAAAATTTAAATACAATGTCAATTGATTTCGGTTCGCAACAAAAACAGTGATAATATAAGCTTGTTTCCGCAGTTATTAAACTTCCCAGGCTATGCATTAAAAATGCCACCAGACGTGAATAAAAATTACTACCATCCGGCTCTTCAATTGTAACTGCAAATTTCCTCTAGTGAAACATATACCGTGGGAGACGGAAATCGCTCTCTTCAGCTGAATAACGTTCTAAGTGCTCTATTTTGTTCAATCTGTTCCCGAATCAATACGTTCCTCGTCATTCTGTTACAGATGTATCCGTGTTGAACAGCACGTGTTAGCACCCTGCCAATACTGCAGCGCCTTTCTTCGTGGATTGAATCTTGAGTTATTAATAAACGCTATTTCAACTGCAGAGGTTACATAACATCAAATGAGATCTAAAGATAATAATGAGTGGTTAACAAGTGAGAATCTAGAAGAAGAATGGTTTACATATTTGAAAATATATTACTATCCGTCATGTTACTCTACGGACTGAGAAGTGTGCGATAAGCCCCAGCTAAGATTCAAATCTGATATCTTTCAAGTTAAAGTCCATAGCTTCATTGCTACACTGACATTGGCATAAGGACGGATGATAGTGTTACAATTTCATCTTATATTAACGGGTTGTTATAACACGATAAATATATGAAGAAGATAACCAGATACCATTTATTTTATTTGTTGTTTCTGATCTCGTTTGTGGTATGCTACCTAATACACTGAGGTCACTGATAAACCGGAATGGAATTGTCACTTTCCGGTTCCCGGCAAGAACTGCATGACCCACCTCGAAGCGCTACAAGATTTTCCGGCTAAGAGTCACGTAGACTCAATGAAATCAATGAAATCAGTTGCCTTGTTTTAAAAGATGCTCAGAATAACGTACCCGTGGCAGGTGGTTTCCGGTTTGTCGGTTAATGAACAGTATAAGGATCATAACAGCCTTACTTGTGTTGGTTACAACTATATGTTTCAATAAGTAGACTTAACGGGAAATTAAAAACTACGAAAAGAATGAGTTGCAACCAACACATGTACGTATTGTAGACAAACAGAGAAAGTGCCTGAGTATAAGCCACTGGGGCGATGGGATTCTGAATGTTGGAGTTAAAGATGAAGAGATCAAATAAACCTAGATAATTTAAGAACAGACATTCTGCGGTGATGATGAAGATTTACGTGTCACAAAATACTTAATCAGAGAAGTGAATTATGTCTTTCCTTTTTTTCGAATACACTCGTTTAATGTTACATTTATATCTTAGAGCAGGCCTGCACAACTTGAAAGTACATGTGAGCCAAAATGTAAAGTACAGATGTGCTTCGAGCCGCAGTCTCGTATTTCCTATATGATAATTATATTAGTTAAAAACATTCGTACGTAGCGCATTGTGTTATATTACTTGTTGCGTTAATTAAATTTAAATACCGGTGCGGTATTGTAAAATTAAATAATTTTGAAAGATGGTTTGTCATGATCCAGGGCGCGGTTTAGCCTATCGCTCCTGGACCAGAAAAGATCTTTCTGGGGCCGCATGTTGTGCGGCCTGCTTTAGACCGAACTTCTGAACTTCCTCGACTGTGTAAAGAATGTAAGTTGAAGAGATGATACAACTTCTTTCCAGGCAAAATTACAAGAATAGAATATTAGTGGTTTAATTGATTTAGAAATATGGTCAGTGAGAATGTCCGTGTTTAAAAATGTGTATGCGAAAGGGTTAATGGAAAAGAATAGCTAGGCCTTCAAGTAGAATATGTGTTTAAATTTGCCGCCTCAATTGCGACAATTCTGGAAAAGTTACAAGAACATGGCTCTTGAAAATGTTTTGTTTTCTTTGTTTTTTTCGTTATTTATGATCATAAGAGGTTCGTTCTTGTATATAAAATTGTGTCGAATTGTTAATGGGCGAAAGAAATATAAAAACTACGCGCGATTAAGTTGTTCGCCAATCGCAAAATGCAAATGCCAAATCTCATTAAACCGCGTTATACACTGCAATGTCTAATCTAAAATTAACTCCAGTAATATCGAAACATGTTCGAATATGCAGCTAATGTGATTAACACATCTTATTTATTAGTTTAACTCTCCTAACAGTTTGTGTAACTTAAACCATTCTTGAATGTAAGTTATAATTCAGCGCCTCCTGAGAATCTGGCCGCACTTGTTTATCGATTTGGCCTAAAGCAACGTTTTGACCGGAGAAGAAACTTATAAAGTTTGCTGTCCGTTAGTTGGGTTGAACGCTCCAACATGGAAATTACTGATAGATGACCAGAAAGCAGTAACTCAAAACCTCTTTCATGATGCTAACAGCAAAAACTTGTGATGTCGCAAATTGAAGACTTTCATGTTTATTATATTTCAGGAAACCAGTTTGGTCTAACTGAAGTTGAATAGAAGACATTTTTATCATTATCATTTATTACAAAAGTTTCTTGGCTTTGAATACTCTACTGAAGTACACAAGTTCGTAAGCTTCCATTAAAACAATTAAATAACGTGCTTCTCAATTTCTATTTAAGAAAGTCGCCTCCAGATGAACAATTTTCTCGCATTCAGTATGAATACCATTCAGGCCTCTATGTATGGAGATCTATTCTACGTCACAGGTTTGTAAACCTGTATTAAATTCATATTAGGACTGTAAAAAATTCTTTATTCCTTAACATCTACACAGACCACGGTCTAGAATTTGTGAGATTGCTGAAAGTACTTTTGAAGTCCACAAACCTATTACGTTAGATTCTTGTCTCTATGTTTTTTGATCCCCCCCCCCCCCCCCCCCCCCCCACCTTAT